CACTTTTTGTCGCATGCGCGCTTCAACAAGAAGGCAGAGAACGGCTTTGACGGGGTGACACACTCATACTGCCTGACACGCCCAACCGTCCGCAGCGAACCAGAGTGTACCAACCGGATTTTCTCGCGCTGCGAGAGTCCAGAGGTATTTTATCATCGCATCGGCGAGGGAATGAAGGTAGAAAAAAAATGAAAGTAGGTGGAAGACTCTACTGTTGAAAATCCCGAGACCTAGAAAATTTTTTCTGTGTTCAATATGCTGGTGCCAATGCTTGTCCATCAATGTTATGAACGAGGCCTGTTCAAAAAATGTGCAGTAAAGCCCCTGTAATCGTGGGATAAATTTCGGACAAGCCTGCTTTCTATAGTCGGTGAATTACTTAATTTAAACGACTCATAACAATTTACAATCAATGTACAAAACAAAAGTTGCTCAACAATCACAAGAACCACGTTTCGAAAAATCTATGAAAATCCTATGAGAATCAAATCACTCAGTACTCTTCTGGCTTCAACTTCCGTGGCTTTATCGTGTGGTTTTCAGGAGCGCCTCTCGGATACTCCACAGCTTTCGGGAACGGTTCACCAAAGAGAGTGTCATCCAAATGAACCTAGAACCAGAAGATTGCTGAAGGAACTCGAACAACAAAGATAATCACAATTACCTCGAACTTGAATTCATCGTCAGGAATAACTGCTCGTCCATCCTTTATGGCCATCTCCTTCGCAAGGGAAACCAGACTCTTGAAAGCATATATTCAGCATTGGCATGTATTTCATTTAGGAACTGAATAAAAGGTTTCCTTTTACCTGGAATGTTCTCGGCTCGTAGACAGCCAATTGCGAGAGAACAATATTGTCTAGTAAAATATGAGCCTTGTCCAGCATGTTGCGAAAGTGTTTGTACTCAAAATGATGTTCCGCTAGCGCTGCACTGAGGCGCTCTTGCGCGTCCTATAAAACGATTAGCCATCACAACTGCAAAATGTTTGGACTGGTAAAGCAACAAAGTTATTAACGACAATTACAGAAAGTAGCAGCATTCTTTACACCTTACTGCCTCGCTCTTCGAAACTGTCTAACTATTGAATTTTTGCAGGAAGCTCGATCTAGCTTGGATTTCGTTCCCTGATGTTGTATGACCCCCTGATCATAGATAGAAATCCTACTCAGCTCAAGAACCCTTAAGGCAGCCGGCTCTCCGGAAAATTGTTCCAGGGACTCGCCTGAACACTGACCATGATAATGTGCTTGGGGACACTTACTCGTTGGACGGCGCTCGCACCGAAAATGGTCCATACGCCGTGTGGTGGGAGCCATATCGTTTTCGCTGCAAAGGCGGAAAGCGAAATTCGCACTCATGGCGCTCACCATATCGCGAAGGACGAAGTTTTCAGACCATATCTTACTCGAAGGGGGAAGAATTTCAAACCAACATGGTGCTAGACCCGACCAACGGGTTAAGCTAGTGTTATAATACAAACTAATTCGCTGCGGACGGTTGGGCGTGTCAGGCAGTATGAGTCTGTCACCCTGTCGAAGCCGTTATCTGCTTTCTTGTAGAAGCGCGCGTGCTACAAAAAGCGGTAGAAAACTACTAATACGAACGATATGACACAATCATGTCATCAGATCGCTTTACATCTGTCGGAGAACAGATTTGGCACTGCGCCAAACTCATCCCGTCTGACACGCCCAACCTTCCGTAGCGAACTACACTCTAAATGATGTTGATCCAGCTGTTCTGTATACCGCCTTCGCTCTATAGCTCGGTGAATCTGCAGCTCATCTCGAGGCCCTCCGAAAAAGGTAGGGTCCAAGTTCCTGATCCAAAACACCTAGTATCATGCGAACTCACAACGCAAGGAGCAGGAGACTTTTATCCACGGTGGCTGAAGATAAAGGACGAGATTACCGTACTCACAAGGGAGGTCGTTCCGGTCGTGGCGAGGCTTTTAAAAACGGTTTGTTGCATGATGTAGGGATCCATGCAAGACCACATAGCTGGGTTCAATTTTGTTGTATTGGGAATGCCAAAAAAAGGCCGAAAAAAATTCGAAAAGAATAGGCATTTAAGCCACCCAATCAGCTCCGTTCTAGCTGTATCGTTGAGAGTGTATAGTTTATGAGGTGAACTTTGAGTAGACATGAAAAACAACGCAGAAGAAGGTCAAAATCCAAGTACGAGATTGAGTAGATTGAGAGTCCGTCGCACTATCCACTACACAATCCGTCCACTGCGAAGGGTGAGATGGGGAGCCATTGAAGAAGCATGCGACGGACGATGAAACTTCAATGTAGCTCACCACATGCCAGGTAAAGTACTTGGATTTTGACCTTCTTCTGCTTGTTTTTCATGTCTACTCAAAGTTCACCTCATAAACTATACACTCTCAACGATACAGCTAGAACGGAGCTGAATAAGGTGGTTCAAATCGCCCATTCTTTTCGAATTTTTTTCGACCTTTTTTGGCATTCCCAATACCGTTTAGCAAAAATGAACCCCATCTGTGTGGTCCTTGCATGGACCCCTACACCATGCAACAAACCGTTTTTAAAAAGCTCACCACGGCCTGAACGACCGTGTCAGCTCGCACCGCCTCGGAAGAAACAGTTGAAAACTTCACCTGGGGGACCGATTAGGTAACAGCAAAAACTGGCCGCAGCGCCGCGGTGACATTTTCAGTCGTGACTCTCACACCCGACCCCAGTTATTTTCGTAAACCAAGGTTCAGGGGGAAAGAAATTCTCTGACCCTGGACCATGGTTTACGAAACTACTTGCACTCCTGGCCGGTTGATCCGTTCTGCATTGTGAAGCAGTGGTCTGGAGCTCTGCAAAACTCTTTAAAAAATCGCGCGCTCTTATCGACAACCAGAGTTAGATCAGAAAAAAATTAGGATTCGAACGGACAAGAAGATAGCACAACCAAGGGCGCGTTCCGCGATAAAAATGGTGGATAATGGTGCCCAAATACTAGGGGGAAGGTGGTAATCAACACAACAGTGAATAAGGAAACAACCTTCCGAAACGCTCTAAATATGAACCCAAGCCAAACAGGGTATGTATAAGCACAAGGTGAAAAAAAATTGTGTGCTTGAACTTGTTGGTATCAGTTTTTCCTTTTTCACCTTCCTCTCATCGTTCCTACACCAAATGAACGCGGAATCTACCATTGATAGAGTGATCTGACCCACTTCTCCAGCTTATTGATCAAAAGCTAATAGGGACATTACCATAAAGTGACCGTTTGTCATGAGCTAAAAAAACATCTGGGACAGAATAACCTACAAATTTTTCCAATCTCCTCTCATCCTGTCGCTGCATGTTGAGGTAGCAGAATATCTTATTCAGTCGAATTGTTCCATGTTTGTAGCAGGTCCGCACACCCGCATACTGCCACTGAAAATGAATCTTATAGCTATGCGAAACGCAAATTTTGCTCGAAAAATGGCAGTAGCCATTTCAGCGTACTGCAGCGACGGCGGTGGAGGGGGCATTTTGCTCTTCCGCTCTTTCCTCAGTTCCGTTTCCAAGTTTAAAAGCTGTGAACTGTTGTGAAGCTGGAGCGAGCTCGTCGAGCCGGCTCTGGTAGTTGTACGGTATGTCACTTCTCTACAGAGTTGACAGGTGGTCTCTACAAACTTTGCCTGGTATCATTTCATGGCTCTACAAGAGTTCACAGATACTTGATGGCTCGACACTTCCATGGGAACAGCGAAAATGCAACATGCTCCCCCCCCCACTACGAACTGAGCCGGAATTTTCATACGAAACGTAGAAGCTTGTAGCGCCCTTCTCTCTAACAATCTTACACAAAATGTGGATGCCTGTGAAAGAAAACCGCTACTGGAAAGTACAGGACTTCCACCCTCACAGAAGTAAGAGAATATCAGAAAAATGAGAATATGATGAACTAAATGACGTACAGCAGTGAAGCGACTAAGACGCTCTCGTGTGTGCCATCTGTCCGTTTTCGGAATGGTCTGAAAAGGGTGGTAGGCACTGTTGATGATTCGGCGTAAGCCAAGTACTGGAGTTATACGCATATCAGAATGAAGAAACGCTGAAAAAAGAACACGATTATACAACAAGCTGCTGTTATCAATTGCTCTAACTCGTCATCTACATCCCGTTCCACCCCCTTGTCGTGCGGGCGGTGGGTCCTGTTCCCTCACACCTGGCCTCTACCAGGTGACCAGCCCTCAGACGTCGCATCGGTGCCTGGAGGGGAAAGGATCCGCCCTCGGCGCGAGGGTTTGCAGAGGACTTACGAACGCTTGCCTATGCTCGTCACGGTGCTGCCACGCGGGTGCTAAGGAGCTAAGCGCTACCGGTAGGCCCTTACTGCCCCTGCGCTAAATGTACCCTACGGTCACATACCTACTACCCTTCCACCTACGCCCTGTCCTCACTCCCTACCTAAGGATAACTGCTCCTGCGAGGCCTCTTGTATCCGCCATTAACATCCTACAGGGACCAACGACCAACGCATTACGAATTGTACTATTAACTATGATGAACAAATATGTAAGGAAACGTGGATCAACCACTCTTGCTACACAACAAAACACAAATAATTATTACGTTTACCACTCTACAAATAACTGTGAGCAATAATAATAAAAAAGAAAGAACTACTAAGAAGCGAAACTACTAAGTGAGGTACGGCCCCTAACTGCACGAACCCTGCCACAGAAACTGCCTACGGGCCACGAGGGTACAGCCCACTGGGGGCCTTGGACACACCCTCACCCTTGGCTGCCCAAGGGGTTCGGGTGCTCCTCCTCCTCCAGTGGTTACCTGGGATGTCCTTGTCCGGAGGCAGTAGTGCTTGCTGTCGAGTACGGCTCCTTGATATTGAAGTGTAGCCATGGCAGTCGGATAGTGAAGTTGGCACAAGGCGACGAGCGAAGGAGCGACCAGTCGGTACGGCGGCAGACGTCGAAGTGAGAGAGAAGCCAGAGTCGGCGGCGACTCTGCATCCCTAGCGGCTTCCAGAGTGTTCGACCGTAGCCGCTAAGCGCGCCAGGACCGCCGCGCGCCCCATAACGCGACCCTTTAAAAAGAGTCGTACGAAAGTCACGACAGCCTTGATCACATGCTGGAACCAACGTCTCCTTGTTGCAGCTGGTGATTTGTGGTTAATTTGTTTATTTATTTGTGGCGTTCCACTCCGATGAGGTAGCACGCCTTCAGTCGGTTGCGCCGAGCGTTGTGCAAGTGCACTTATAGAGACCGTCTGAAAAAGTAGCAGCCCTGCCTTTTCAGAGGGTTGCCTTTGGTTGGTGATCCTTATTTACTAAGGCCTAACTTCGCAGATCACTACTCGGGAGAAGGATATAGAAGCAGGCTGCGCTATCACGTACTCCATCCTTAAGTTTCTTAACCATAGGACAAGTCTTCAGCAAATTTGGCTGTTTAGCTTATTTTAGCGCCATTTTTCAGGCGACGGAATGCTACTGTGTTTAGGAGTCACATTACTCTAGAAGACCACTTTTTAGCCACTCTGCCCTAGGAGGAAAAGCCTGTAAAAAGCATACGAAGTTAGTTCGAAAAGACGTCCCTAGAATGAAAGATTTGAACATGACAGCGACCAGTTCGTTTATGAAGAAAGCAATAAAGAAAACAAGTAAGTAAAGAAAGGAAGAAAGAGCTGAAGGGGAAACAGATTCGCTATTATACGTTTAGCAGAAAAAAGAAACCTAAAGCAACTTTGTCACAACAGCACATCTCGATCTTTTCAGAGAAATTTCTATCTGGTTATCCTCTATGCAAGCGCCCATATCAATCGCGATCTACGATATTACCGTGCGCATGCATATTTTTTTACTTATTTGTTCCTTTAGGAGATGACTTGATACCCAAGCTGATGTATATAATTATACATATTACGATGTTTAGTATTGACAAAGCCCAATTAGAGCCTCCATTGACATCGAATTACTTGGCTTTTTTACCAACCCGATGCAAGTAGGAAAAAACACGGACCGGCTATTCAATCAAGAGCCAGTATCATATAAAAACAGCCTAAAACGCGTAGCGAACGTACCTCAACTCTCAAGGGCGCATGAAAATGTCCTTTTTGTCGGATTCAGAATGTTGTGGAAGTTTTTAAATCGCAGCTCAAAGCACACAATCCATTAATCGAGGTTTGACAAGTCTGCTCCAATCGCACTATGGTTGGCAGATGGCCAATGCGGAGCCACCGTATACTGGGCGGGTTTTCCAGTGAGGACCCTTTAATCCCGCGATGAGCATCACAGCGAATCGATACTCATTTGGACGACCGCCAACGATAATAAAATCGTTTTTTTTTCTGGTGCAATGTGCCCACACTATTCGGGCGCTGGGCTGTGTGTTCGTTGCCAGTGGAATAATGGTGATTAGTCGGACTTTGTTCGACAAACTATTTATGTGTATCGCATATTTTGATGTATTTCGGACCGGCATTGAGTGCTCTTCATTTAACCTATTTATTCCTATCATTATCTTTTGGTTTTGTCGCAGCGTCGCTCTTGCTCGATGATTTTCTCAGCTGATTCATATTTCTGCAATTTTATCATACAAGAATCTTTGAGGATTTATTCCATACATAATGTCAAATTTCTCGCGATTTTCTGCGCTTTTGTGGTTGATTTATCATTTACTTATCTTGGTAGTATGTTTCTCATCAACTCCGTGGCGGCTTTTTCAATCTTATCGCTTTCCCTGTGGGCTTTTTTTTCTGTAGTAGTGTGGTTACAGTTACGGTATAGTTGCATGCAATTCCAGCCTCTGCTCTACTTTGCCATGATTGTGGTGCATCGTCAATAATCGAATGTTCACTCCACAAGCTGCTCGCAGGCCGCCTGGCAGTATGCAGCCTGGTGCTCCTGTTCAAAGGTCAAAGCGATATTCACGCTAAAGAAAAGTGAATACTGTTGTACTTCATTGAAACTTATTTTTGGTAATGGTCCTTACTGTCTCTTACAATGGCCCTTGAGAGAATTTTTGACTACACCAAATGTTAGGCATTGGGCATTCTCGTTTCAATCTGAAGTTTTTTCTTTCTATTCGCGTTCGAGTCTGCCATGATGTCATACATCAGCCCGCACAAAACGCTCAAATGTGTACGAACAATTACGAGTGCGAATTCATAGGCAATCACTTTAGTTGAATGCTATTCAGATGGCGCCTAGAGTTTTTCCCAAGCCACATGCAATGCGAGAACCTGTAAACCTGAATATGAATATAGCAATACGCTCCTGAAGGCTCCTATCGCCGACTACTCGGGCCCGAGAAACGAAGAATTTCGCCAGTTTCCTCAGAGGAATCTTAAGTTGCGTTCATACTATGCGTTTTGAGCAACTAAGAAAGTGTAGATAGTGATCGTTTGGAGCGTACACCAGCGTCAGCAGCGACTGCCAGCGAATCTCAAAAGTTAGGTAGCTGGTAATGGGAGATAGCGTTCCGTCAAAGCCCCGGGTTTGTTTACTGGATTTCCCCTTTCAGAGTGCTTCGACTAGAGTAAGAGCGGCCCTGGTGGCGTAACGGATAGCGCACTCGCCCGGAAAGCGTGAGGTGCGGGTTCGACTCCCGCCTGGGGCACGACTTTTGCCCATAACTCAGCATTCTTCTGATAGCTTTGGTTAGGTGTTCTCTTTGTAGACTCGCTGCTTATGTGTACGAATATCTGGTCATCTCTGGAGCGACGAAAACTGCCGAAGTCTTTAAAGAAGAAGTTTTGAATGTGAGAGTTTAAGTTGTAGTCGTCGATTATTACTTGAACTGTTCCTGGAATATCTATTTGTGCTGTTTAGAATGTTCCTAATGGAGCCATCAAGCCCAGTGAAATAGGTCCAGGGTTTCTGCAAAATTGGTGGATGTGAGTATTTATTAAATTTATTCAAACTACGCGTGACAGAACACACCACGGCCTTTTTCTAGTTTCTTGGAGACTTTAATTTTTGCTCTGTGACGATTTTCTGTCTCCATTTTCCAAATGACTAATCAAGTAAATGTATTTTCCAGGCTATTCTGGGATCTTTATTGCGCAGCTCCCGAACGAAGAGATGGGCCTGAATGCCAGTCAACGCAGGAAGCCAAAGCTTTTCATGACTTTGTGCGTATCTTACTTTTTAAGTGGTCCATAGGTTAACCCTCGAAGTTGTTACAGTGTTGAACACGATGATCGTTTAGGGATTCGTTCCTGGTGGTTTTGGTCCACCTGGACCGATGATGAATGGAATGCATGGTCCTGGGGTAGGTCCTTTTTGTCATAATGCCTTTCTCCAATCTCAAAATCCTGATCAACTTCTCAATTGTATGCTTCTTCTGGGCGCACTTCGGCGACGGGGGGGGCATTTTGCTTTTTCGCTGCTTTACTAGTTCCGGTTTACGAGTCTTCCCCTGGTGAAACCTGTGAAGTCTTGTGGAGCTGGTTGCTCGTTGCTTTACGAGGGTTAACAGCTGGTCTCTACAAACTTTAAGCTAAATCGCTTCGTGGCTTCAGAAGATTTCAGAGTCTCCACTTGCTGGCTCGACACGTCGATGGAAAATAGCGAAAATGCAAAGTGCCCCCCCCCCCCTCCGCCCCCCGTCATCAAACTAGCCCTTCTTCTATAAGATTTCTACTTATTCTCGTGCAATTCATGTGTGTTCTTTTGCCTCATTCATTGTTTTAACGCATGTCAGCATGCCGCGGATTCGAGATGACGATAGGTCGCATCTCGAGGTAATAGACGCGCAATGCGACAATGGGCATGGTGAACAGCAGTGAGAGTGACAGGCGAAGAGAGTGCCACAGCGCACGCAGACAGCGAGTAAGTCGGACGTGGTGGTGGTCAGGGATGCAGAGCGCGGTCATTTGCGTGGTGAACGCTTCGAGTTCATCGTTGAAAACGTGAGAAGCAAGCAAGACGGATGAAAGTGAAAGTGTCAGGATGTCAACAATGACCGTTCAATTGAATTTTGCTTTTTACAAGTTGAAAACGACTTTTTGAGGAAGTCACTGATAGTGGAGAGACATTGTTTTGAACTTGTTCAGCTGTTGATTGGAAAACTATCTTCCAACTATCTGACAGTTCTTGGAGTTCAGCGTTTCGTTGAGGGAGGGGCATCCTGCAGTTTTGCTACCTTCTCATCGTCGTGTTGAGCCATCGAGTGGATACTTGTGAAACCTTTTGAAGCCGTGTGAAAAAAAACCAACCTCTATTGAGACCACCTGCCATCTCCTGTATAGAGTGAATTCAACTGTTGCTAAGCAGTGGAACACCATACAAATACTACTGGAACAGCGAAACTGCGAGGTGCCCCTTTCCATCGTCGCTGAATTGCGCCGCGTTTTGTTCTCTTTTGGCACAGTTAGGCTTGGTAGGGCAGCAAATGGTACCTAGCAAAGCCTTCTCAGGCCACCTTGTGGAAAACTGTAAGCTCTTTTTATCGAGGTAGCTCGGAGTACCATATCGCAACTGTAAGACTACCGGTTTCACCAAAATGAGAGTTGTTATTTGATGTGAACTAGAAAAAGGGGACCAGCGGAAGTCCAAATGCCCTACCAAGCCTGAAACGCCCTATTTCTTTTTTATTCGAAGTGGCTTCGAGTTAGTGCTAGTTTGAGTTTCGACAACTTAAACGCTTCGAGTTACCCTACAAGTCCGAAAGAATATACTTATACTGTGATTCGTTCATAAGTGGGAAAATTCTTCTCTTTAATAAGCGTTTCCTGAACTTTCCCTCGAAGGCAGTGCTCGTCGTAGGCAGGGAATCCACAGCGAGGTGGGAGGGGGGGGGGGAGGGAAGGGGATCATATTTGGTAGTTGAAATTGGGGTGGTAATTGTCTTCTGGAAATATTTTCGATTTTTGGCTTTTCTGGTTTTTTCTCCCAGCTTGACGGTTTTTTTTTTGAAGTGTGAGAGGTTTGTTTTTCTGGATATAAATTCCGAAAAGTGTTAAGCGGGAAAATTCAGGAAGACGTTAGCTGGGAGGAGGCAATTTCAAGGGAGGCGGGGGGGGGTCGTGTTTTACGAACAAAATGTTCCTTCCCCCCCCCCCCCTTCCCCTCCCATTCTATAGCAACTTGTTGTTACTCCTTTAATTCCCTTTATTTAGTGATCAGTCACCTCCTTATGCGAATAATTAGAGCTCAATGTCTTTTGAATCTAACTAGTGGGCGAGGATTGGGTCGAACGACCTGCGCGTGTTTTTTGTCTTCACGTAATATAGGTCGCAATTTCAATACTGGCGAATAAGGTCGTGTCGGCGAGGACAACGAGGAGCCACTGAGTGAACGCGATTTGCGCGGGACGTAAATGTATTGACGAATAAAAGCTATATAACAGCATTTTTTTTTCTGAAAACTGTGAAGTTTCAAAGCTGTAGTTGTATAGATTACTGGTTGAGGATCTGTGCTTAATGTCTGGAAATTCCAGTCATATGTGCCTGTGGAGCAGTAAGAACCGGTTCTTGTGGTCACTGCAATGGGGTATTCCTGCTATCTTCGACTATAATTTCTGCGCATTCTCTCCAGGGGGGGGGGGAGTTGGTGGGGGAGGGAATTAGTTGGGTTTAGTATCCCTCGGAATGTTTCAAAGGTCTTGTAGAGATGTGTAATCAAAGCACATCCGAAAAAAGGGGAAAAACTGCTAAATACCCCCCCCTCCCCACCTTTTCAAATCTGTCCTCTACGACCCACCTTACTCACAATCATCCTAGCTTCCTGAACATCTTTTCGGACCTTTTCTTCTTTCTATTTCCCCAAAAGCTACTGTCGAGATGACGGAGACGGGCGCTATCCAGCGCGCTTAAACATACAGTGGAAAACAACGCGAAGGTATGGTATCAGGCAGGAGGCATAGCAAGTAAGCATTTGGTACCGCATCCGTTTTTCCTTTTTATAGCTCCGCCCCCTTTTTTGCCACTGATATAAGAGTAGACGTGATTTGCCTAGTAGTTTTATCTTCCAGGGCCTTTCTCTAGATATGATAACGGTCTATTTATCTTGGGCAATATAATTGCCGCTAGTTGCCTGAATTTTCAGAAGATATCTGCGATTGTTAATGATATTGCGTACAATAATAAGTAGGCAGTCTCCACCTCCATTTACTGTTCGCATTATAGTGTCTTTATAAAACTGGCCTACGGCCGCTGTTCTGTCGACGGGGAGGGGGTCATTCTTGCCCCACCGCATTATCATTGCTTCCCCAGTTCCCGGTTTTACACATGTTCACTCTGCGAAACCCCTGTGAACTCTGTGAACTGAAACAGGTAATCAAGCACCAAAACACTGTCAACCTCGAGAAGCTGCTAACGATAGGCCGACACTTCGATGGAAGAAGCGAAAGTGCAAAATGACCCCCCCCCCCGTCGACAAACTGCGCCTTTTCTACATATTGTTGTGCATTTTGTCTGCTTTTTGTGCCAGGGGCACATTGTGGCAGTCCATGAAGGGATTACTGATGTGACGTAAGGATATGGACGAGTCACCAGACAGTGGGAGCCGGAAGTAAGCATATGGGGGCGGCGCGAGAAATTCAGGGAGCGATGCAGAGGAGATTGTAAGCGGACCGCCCTCAGAGGAGCACGGGACAAACACAGACGTGTTTTCAAGACTTGCGCACTCTCACTGCGAAGCCGGATGCAGGCAAAACAGGAAAGCGCTTGCTGAAATGAGTATGAGAGGGGTCGAGTAGATGTGTTGAGAGTGGCTATTGAGACTATTGAGTGACAAGTTCGGGTTTATCAGTGGCATTTTAAATGGAGAGCTAGAAGGGCAGTGTTATTGGAACTTGCATTGGTGCTATAATAATAATCTCTGAGGGAAAACACACCTGTGAGCGCTTCTAAGTATACCAAATCCTGTAAACTATACTGCGCATTTGAGTTTTGGACGATATTGTTGAAGTCCTGTAAGCTCTTTTATCACCTGTAAAGCCCTGTAAACTGTCTTTGACAGAACGATTGGCCGAGGTTACAAAAAATGGAAAAACGGGGTTCCAGTGATCTACTACCATTTCGGTGAAACTCGAAATTTTTTTTACAGTGTACCTGACAGAAATCGCAGGTCTTGCAGGGGTGATACGATTGTGAGACAAAAGGAAAAAAACAGGGGAAGTGCAAACAGAAAAGCTTACAAGTGTGCTTACCCCCCTCCTTTTTTCCCCTCAAGGTTACTAACGCCGTTGCCTTAAGTGCAGCAAGTGAATGAAAATGTATTGGAGCCAAGAAAATGGCTGAAGAGGTCGAAAGCTGTTATTTCGAGGAAGCTAGTGGAGGCGAGGATGCGTTCGCTTAGTCCACCCTCCGGATATTTGCGCTTTCTGAATTAGTTAGTGAAGAAGTCGAATCCAGCAGTCAAAAGCAGTCTACCACGCTCTAAATCCGAATCGTTCTTTTGGAAAAGAATTTTGAGTATAGTAACTTAGTCCGAATATGCGGTGCTAACTAAACGTAAATTTTTTTCATGAATTTCGTGCCATGTAAAGAACTGGTATAAATAGAATTCATGTTATCTAAAAAGTTTAAAGCCAATGTAAATCATGTTCGTGGCAAACAGGGGCGTGGCTATCTGGGGCGGGGCTTTCAGTGAGGTGAACGATGTGCGGAGAGTAGAGCGATGGGAGATGGATTCAAGAATGCAAAAAAATCACTTGACG